ATGTATTATTCCTTTGTGTGTTGAAAGCCTTCTTTTCCTTTAAGACTCAACTCAAAGTATCTCCTCCAGGAAGCCTTTCAGGCCTTGAATTTCTCAGAACACTTTGACTAGATCTCTCCTTTGCACTTATCTCACTCTTCCTTGTGTCACAGTACTTGTGTATGTCTCTGTTCAGTCACAAAGTCTTTTGAGAGTAGAGCCTACATCCTACCATTGCAATCATGTAAGCTAGTTAAAACAGTGCTTTGCACATAGCAGGTATGTTCAGTGAATTACTGAATGAAAGGGTGTAGATATTGAGCCTGATTCTTGCCTCCTGGGGGAGGAGGGGAGAGTAGCACAGGGGGCATCACTTTGTAATGGGGAGAAACTGTGCCTTATCTTCTCCAAACAGCCCACACTCGTGTGCTGCATTGCAAGGTGTGTACTAGGTGTGCGCAACCCAGAAAAGTGGTGTGGTTCTTAGCAGGTTAATGATTTATAGAGCCATAGGGCTAGAGGTAGAAGGGACCTCAGAGGTCTAGTTCAACCCATTATTTTCAGAGGAGGAGATCCAGGGTCACACAGAGAGCCAGTGTTATCAATCCTATTAAGATTTAGTTAAGTGGGGATAGCTATTTTAAATGTACCACTTAAGATATAACAAACTGCCTATTGCTATAAATTACAAATTGCATTTACATAGCTCCTGAGAGACAGATCATGAAAGTATCCTGCCCATATGCTCATCTATTTTTCAGTTGAGGAAACTGAAGCTCAAAAAAGTAACTTGCCCAAGATATCACAGTAAAATGTTAGAATTAGAGCCGTTTCGGTCTGGATGCCTACCTAGGTTTCCTAACTCCCATTCTAGCATCCTTACCCCTCACCATGCTAACTCCAGTATGGTCTAAGCATTAGCTGACCTCTAAGATTCCTTCCAAATCTAAATCTATTCTGATTGAAAAGAGAACTTCCCACCCTCCATATTTCTCAGGCAGGTACCCACTGGAAACACTCAGAGAAAGAAAATCTTTAGGAGAATGATGCAACGCCTACAAAAGCAAGCCCTGGCATTATGATGTATACTGGCAGATACATTCCTATGTAGGCAGAATATTTTTTTAATCCTCGCCCCTCCTCTACTCCTCCCCCCTATCCCCACCCCCCAAGCCCTCCAAACCACGACTCCAGAAAGTTCTACAGGACTATTGCCCCACTGGGTTGTCACTAACTTCTCCCCAAGTGGTTGAGTGGAACTTCTCCAAGTTGGTGGGAAGCACTGCCCGGGCTCTCATTTGAGCCTGAGTCACATCCGAGAATTCTTTGGGCCTCTATGAGGAGAAGGGCCGCAGCGCTGGCAGCTCTGCACGGCTCAGGGCAGAGCTATGGGATGGCCAGCCCTGCAAGGGTCAAGTGGAGTCGCGCCGTGCCCACCCTGGGGAGGGTGAGGGCACCAAGGCTCCCGAGGCGCCGGCCGCCCTCTTCAGCCGCATCATGCCCCTGTCCCAAGCTCGCCACCTCCCTACCTGGGCACGCCCTGGAGTAGTCAAAGCAGCAGTCCCCAGTGAGCCGACACGCTTGGTCGCAATAGCACGTCCCATAGACCCTGTCCAGCCTCCAGCCCCGGCCGAAGCAGGTGGGGTCTCGCCCAGGGCAGCACCGCCCCACTTCTAAGCAGCCCGCTTGAGCCCCGGCCCAAAGGCGCGCCAGTCCCCAAAGTGCCATCCAAAGGGCACCCGGGAGGGTCGGCATCGCGAAGGCTTCTCCCCGCCCGAAGGCAGCAGCGATGGTAACAGGCGCAAAAGAGGCGGCGACGGTGACTTAACTTGGTCCCCAGGGAGAGTGAACCGACTCCTCTGACAAGAGGGTGGAGGAGGCGGCCCCCAAACCGCAAGAGAGGCAAGGCGCGCCCCCCCCCCGCCCTTCCGCCAGCCCCCGCCCTTCTCGGACGCAGCCCCTCCCCATCTGCCGCTGCCCTTGGCGTTCAAGGGACCTCAACGCCCGCGCCTCCCGCATTTGGAGGACCAAGCGGTGGTACCCTGCCAGAGCACTGGCCCGGTTAGAAAAGAGGGGTGCCAACGTCGTCCCTTTTCCTAATTACAGCCCCTCTCGGAGCAGCTGGCCTAACTTCCTAACTACTCCCCATTGCAAGGAAGGAGCCAGAAAGCCGCTCCCCGCTGTGCTCTCCTCCCACCCTTCTGTACTCCCAAATTGGGCTGCCCCCAGGACAGAGAGTGCACTAACCCGAAGACGACCGCGCTCTGAGGGGCAGCAGGCGGAGAAAGAGCAGGTGGAGAGGCACCCTGGTGGGCCCAGTGAGTCCTGATGGGCGGGGGGGGGGGGGGGGGGGGGGGGGGAAGTGGCGGTCCACAGGCACCTGTAGTCCTTGCGTCTTTGGCTAGGATCTCTATTCAAAGCCATTAAAACCAACTCAGCCCAGGACTAATGCGGGGCGAGGAAGGTGTCAGGAATTAGTGGTGATTCCTGACACCTCCTAAGTTCACGTATCCTCAGGAGCACAGGCTCTGCCAGAGAACCTCCTTGGAAAGGTTGTAGAGAGGGTTGGAAGCAAGATCGAGGTGTGTGAGTGAGGGGTGGGATGGGGTGTGGAACTTCCTTCAGACCACAGAGCAAAATTAGTTTGCTTGTATGGAGAAATCAGAATGAATGACGGTGATTGAATGAATGGATGAATAAGAAGTGTGTTAGTCCCTCCTTATGACTAAAGTCTATTTCCAATAGATTTCCCATATCTAAAGAAGCTTTTTAAAAATAGTTGACGTTCAATAGAAAGGATTTGGTGCTTTTTAGAACTTTCTCTCCCTTCAATCCAAATACACATGCATAGAAGGCATTTCCCAGCCCCTTGTCCTACTGACCAAAAAAGGTACTAGATCTGAAATTCTGAAAGATTCCATTCACTTTAACTTCCTTCGATCAGCTGACCAGATAGGTTCTTATGTGATATTGAACCCACAAAGTTTCTGACTACAGAGATGCTACCCAATTAATTTCTTCTTCAACAGAAGCCTTTTTGCAGCAGTGCTTTTTCCCCTTTTTTAAAGGAAAGCATCAATAAAATGCACCAAAATAAAGTGTAATGGTGAATGTCTCACCATTGAGACATCTCACCATTATTGTCAAATAAAAGTGACTCCCCCGCCCATTCCAATACAATCCAGCAAGCCTTTCTTAAGCACTTACTATTTGTCAAGCTCTGTGCTGGTGCTGGAAATACAAAGATGAAATGTTGTCTGCCTTCAAGGAGCTTATAGTCTAGTGGGTGTGGGGAGAGGTTCACGTTAACAGATGAAAACATACATGATGACATGAAGAATTCTCTCCTAACAAATGAGGAAGATAATGAAGTGGCCACAGTGGGTGTCACAGCAAGTGAGGCTTGAGGGATGCTAGCAGGTGAGCTGAGGAGATTGCATCATGGGGACACTCTTCTGCTGATAAATTGTATTGTACCCTAGGAATATAGCAATTAGATTTGTCAGATCCAAAATTAGGACACATAGCTTGATATAAGATACTCATATCTTATAGATATAAGAACATAGATATTATAGATAGAAAGATAAGCCTTTTACAAAGCCTCTTTCAAAGCATGCTTTCATTTATTGAAATCAGAACTGTCCTAGAAAATTCCAGACACATGATCCCTTCACCTATAAACCCTGATAATAGATAAACTCTAGCTTGAGAAGTCAAAGGGCCACACTTGAGAGACCTAGAAGGCCACAGGTTCCCCCTTCCTGGCATAGTGGATATGGTACTGACCTCAAAGTCAGGCAGATTGGTTCAAATCCTGCCTCAGGGAATTACTAGTAAAGTGGGGAAAGATTATATGAGATCCAACCTCAGAGACTTACTAACAGAATGAGATAAAGTTATGTACCCTGGGAAAGTCATATAACATCTCTGTGTCTCAGTTTCCTCATCTGTTGTAAAAATTGGGGGGGGAAGCTCATTTTACTTGATAGCCTTTAAGCTCCCTTCTAGCCCTGAATCCTGTGATAAGGGGAATTTATTTCTTTGTGACTGAACAATGAAGTTTTCAGGATAAATTACTTTAATCCAGCTCCTAACCTGACTCTGTCCTTGGCCCCCTGGATAACTTTCCCTTGTCCACTCCTGCAGTCTCCTTCTCCAATGATGAATTCTTCCCCTGGAACTTGCATTTGAAGAAGTATCTCCTTTGGCCAACCTCACTTCTAATCCAGCTCAGCCCTGACTCTACTTTTCTGCCTTGTCCTATCCCCTTTTCTGCTTCCTTTTATACATTGTCTTTCCACATTGAAATGTAAGTTCCTCGAGATCAGGGACTATCTTTTTGTTTATATTAGTATTTCCAGTGATAGCACAGTGCTTGGTATGTGGTAAACACTTACTAAATGCTTTATTTCTATCTAATCTAATACCTTTATATTTTTTCTTTAGGTAAATTTCTCCCGTGATCTGTATGATTCAAATGAAGACTTCCAAAAAAAAAGTAATTGATATTATTTAGTTCTCATTTCCTCTCATTTTCATAATACACTCCCAAATAAGACTTTTAATAATAGCACAACACAATGTTGTATCCATGAGCCACTTTCCAAGAGGTTCCTTGCCCTGCAAAACACCTTTAAGTAACTAAAATTCCCTAACTTTGCAGAAATCTGGAAAAACTGCAGAGAAAAATGAGACACTAATGAATTTATTTCATAACTCATCTTCAATGTAGTTATGGAAAACTATGCCAAAAAAAGTGATAAAGTCAAGTGGAAAAAGATGAGCTAGATTTACTTTAATTTACTTTAACATACATACTGTTTCACCACCACATCAACTAAGAGAGAGAGAAAGACACATGGAGAGAGACAGAAAGAGAGAGAAAATGCCAAGTTCCCTATGCTGAACCTCATAAAGTGTGCTACCAGAGATCTAGATGGTCTTGTCCAATTAGACCCTGAAACAAATGAAAGGAAAACCACTGTTTTCCATTACATCTGAAATGTTGATGTTCTCAAACTTCTAAAATTTTTAGCCAGCAATAAAAGAGTACGAATTTTTTTTATTTTTTAAGAGTGCTATTTTTAAGAGACAAAATAAAAGAGAGCTTGTCTGGTAAGAAACAGTGGAGCTCATGTTAAACTCATGTTAAAGCTTGTACTCTATTGCAAACATCAAGATAAGCCACTCCTAGTAGCCACTAGCAAAGAAGCAATTTCTACAGGAACAGGCAAAGTCAGCAGGACAATTGACATTTCAAACCATAGAGTTCACATCCTTGCTGAAAACAGTATGCTGTTTAATATAACAATTAGACACTTTGTATTCTGTGTTTTGAAGCAAATTGAAGACAAGAGGATTGAAGAAGAGAGAGACTAATTCCAATGACTGAGTGGGTAACGGAGTGTGACCTGCTCCTTGAAAGAAACTCCTTGTAGAGGTTTGTTCCTTGGAAGCAGTAAGAGATGAGCAAGACCACGAAGAGCGGAGGAGAGAGGAGGCACTAATGAGAAGGTGAATCCAAATCCCATGATCTTGATCTAATAAATCCTTGCATTTGAATACTACTTTATAGTTTCCCAAGTAAGTTTTCATAATTATCTCACTTGGTAGCTCACAATTGAAGGCAGCCATAGAAGCAATGTGGAGCTAGGGAATCAGCCCTGGCTTAGGAGTTAAAAGAACTGGATTCTAGTATTGGCTTTGATACTTGTTCACTGTATGGCCTTGGGCAAGTCATTTTCCCTATCTGGGCCTCAGTTTCCTTTTCTGTAAAATAATTAGACTAGATCAGAGGTGTCAAATTGATCAGGTCTCTTGCTGCAAAACTCCTAGTGCTGCCAAAGCAGATTAAAATATAATTGAAAAAATATTTAACAAAATAAATAAAAATACAATAAAACCCAGATAATGTTAATTTGTGGTCTTCTCAGTCAATGTGCAACAGAAGGGATACATTTCTATTTGAGTCTGACACCACTGGACTACATAATCGCCAAGACCCCTTTCAGTTCTAATGCTATATGTTAATGCTTGTATTACAATGAAAACATGGAGATAAGCCATGTCTAGAAGCAAGATAGGTATGTGCAGTTGTATAGGGTAATGGGGCTAAGCTTGTACATTGACTCAATTCTGGTGGGCCACAAGATCTGGCACCTTGCTAAAGGACATACGCAACCAACAGCATTTATTGGTCCCTATGCCCCCATAATTTGGGGCTGAGTTGAAGAAGATTGGGATCAGCAGAGAAGAGCTACCCACTCTGTGGGCTACAAGGATTGAGGAGGGGTGGCTCTAGGCCTGCTCTGAGGAGCCTCTTTATTGGAGCATATCCAGGCGGAGCTTTCCTTTGAGATTCCAGTAAGCAAGGAAGTGGTTCCCTCTCCCTTGCCTTCTGATCTGGAAGCAGTGGTTACTATGTATGAAGCAGCGAGAACATGTCCTTGCCTATGCACATCTCAGACCGGACCTCAAAGCCGCGTCTTCTACTTTGTGTTTCTTCCACTAAGCATAAGTGGAAGTTTCCAATCCTGGCAGCTACTCTGTGAGATTTCCTTGAGTTGGATGTTGGTTGCTGAGCAGGAGGTGATTTCCAAAACAACTTCTTGGAGGAGATAACCACCTCAAAGACGAAGAAAGCCAAAGCCAAGCCTTGGCTTGTCAGGAGATTTCACACTTGTGAATCTTCAAGAAAAACATCAGAAATGAAAGTGAAAGGTCTGTTCAGCAGTTCCTACAAAGTTGTCTTT